GAGTGATAGTGATTCAGCAATTTTTATTAGTTTCATTAATTCAATAAATTTGAATATGCATGATAATTATTTTTGAGCCACGCATGTCAGTGGTCTGTTAAATGAGATGACTTATACTCAAATTATTTAAAACACTCGGAACGAAAGATATGATATATTAAATGTTCTTGCTAAGAGCAATCGAGTGTACAACACTTGTGTTTGGTGATAATTTCGCTGGACATAGAGTGTAAAATGTTCGTCGTCGCTAACTCTTGGTGTTGGAACTGGAGCACCCACACAGGGATTGGCAAAAAAGACGAAAGGGTAACTGTCCGACTGACGAGATCGCAAGATCGAAACAGCATGTATCGGGTTCTATAAGTCAGTCCATTTAACAGACCAGTGACATGCGGTGGCTCAAAAATAATTATCAGGTATATTGAAATTTGAGCAATCTTTACTCATTTTTATTCTTATTTCTTCTTTTTCTTCGAAATCAATGTTTTTTATAGAATCTCTTCTGACACTATCCAGCGCAGTTTCGAAAAAGTGGTGCGTAATGTGAAATCTCGACTGAAAACCGATGTGGCGGAACGACTATAAATGATAATGACTAGGGTACAAATTAAAAATAGATGCTGAGTTATTGCTACCTTTGTTGCTATTTGATCTTGGGAATAAATGAATGAAAAATTGAAGAAATTTTTCTTTACCAAAGAGCGCGTGTTTGACCGAAAATTGAATCGCTCTTCTATGGATTTTTAAGGTGCATACTGATCTATACCAACTGCTTTGAGCATGATGGCAAACATATAATGCGAATTCTCAATGACATACTCTTAGTGAGCTTTATCGATCTACATAGCAATTTCTCTGATTGCAACCTAATAATTATCCGGTCTTTTAGAGATTGAAAAACCTCTTTCATGGTCTTTGATGTCGAAATTGATATCTCAATAACAAAGCGATTGAATAATCCAATTTTCACCCAAAACAACTTCACGTCTGGGATGTATCGTTAATGCTAACGATGGCTCTGTTCAAGTTAAGATACTCAACAAATATAATCTTAAATTTTTGAGTATATTCAAATATGAGTATTTATATCTAATCAAGACAATAATGCGGGCAGTTATTCATCATTGTGCAGTATTATTACGGTTTTGATGTTGTTCATACTCATTTTGTTAGCCATTTTTTTTTCTACAGACCCAAATCTGCGTGTCTGTCTGGCAGGGATAGACTGTTTACCCCATCTTCTCTGCCGCCTCACCATAGCGTGAAAACGGCTCCACCTCTCCTCTGCGACTGTTACCTCCAGCCTGGAAACACTGTCTGTCTCACTGCTCTCTGCCAATTGATACCCGTTCATCAGTAAGAAGGTTGCTGGTTAGATTCCTCACCATGACGCTGCACTGTAGTTTTTGATGCTATCTTTTTGATGCCGATTAGTATCGCAAGTCGTTCTATAGCGCAATTATCACAGCAAAAAACGTTCAATTGTATAACATTTCACTACTTTATGGTACAAAACGAAGATCGTAGAGGTAGTTGCAGACATATCATGCTCCTACAGGTTGCAAGTTGTTGAAACTTACTGTTATAAATTGCATATTGTTGAATAAATGGTGATAAATGAATTATATACATTGACCACTCGTGTTGCGATGTTACTATATGACATATGATATGATCTTATGTGCCAGTCATTTCAGCAAATTATAGTGGAAACAAAAAGATAGCGCCAAAAAAACTACACTGAAATCTTTTGGTAGGAGGTTGAACCAGCAACTTCCTTCCCGATGGACGTATGTCGAGTGGCAGAGAGGAGTGAGTTAGACAGTGATTTCCACGCTGGGCGTTACAGTCGCAGAAAAGGAGGTGGAGTCGCTCTCGCACTGGAGATGAGCGTGGCAGAAAAGGCGGGGCAGACAGCCCACCCTTGCCATTATACACGCAGATTTGGGTCTGTGGAAGTCAAAGGTTTTGCTTGACCACTATTCAAATCTAGCAGAAATGTACTCAGCACTTCCAGCTCTCGCATGCAATAACAAGTAGCGTCGATAACTTGAGTATAATTCCTAGTAGTGTTACGCAGAGGACAAACAAGATACTCGTTGAAGACCTCCAAAAAAAAGCAAGCAATACTTTGCTGGCTGCCTTTTTTCACGTGTCAAATCTGTATCTGAGATTGAATAGTTGCCAAATGCTTTTCTTCAATGCACGTTCAGTGAACCAAGAAAGGAGTGTGTTGGTGTCATCGAACTTACCTATTTTTGCAGACGAATCTACAGTAGCCGACGAGTTCACGCTGATTTTGGGTTCGGAAATGGGAATGTTGTCCAACTCACAACATATGGAACGTCTGCGTGCACCGTAACAAAATGCATCCTCCTAAAGTTAGCGTATGGATGCAATATTTATTAATAAAAATCATTTGAAACGTACTCACTCCAGGGCAATCAGTGTTCGTGTTGCACAGGATTCTTGAACCATCGCTCCTCATAAGCCCAATGGAATTTTCAGGGCAATCAATCGCCTTCTCATAAGCTATCGTGGTACGAAATATCCGTCTTTGCGAAATCTGTTTGTCGATTTGGACTTCGACGTTGTTGACTTGCGCAGTACCCTCTATTCGATCACAACAAATGTTTAAGAGGCCAACAGCTGTGCATATCATGGATTCCTGACAGTGCATTTATTTCGGAACAAGTTAGGAAACTGCAACTATTGTGGAAATTCTTTGTTCACTATTCAACTGAATTTAAGCAACAATAAGCATATTACTATGGTTGACTACTAATTTGACCCTTGTCAACTATCCAATCACACCGTGGCTGATGATCCTATTTCACTCAGTATTTGCTTAGTAGCCAATAAGATGTTGTGGTGTGATTTCCTAAGATCGTATATGAAACCATATATTAAAAATGTAGGAAATCTCTGCATATATGAAAAATGTAGGAAATCTCAAACAAACTTTCTATGGTAACAACGTTATTCACATAATCAAGAACATACCTTTGGGCAAATCCGTGTTCGCGGATCGCACTTGAGCGGCATCCCATTGGAATCCAGTACAGTAAGCGCTGGAGTCAGGCAAGTAGGTTGATTGTCACTTGATGCTTCATAACTGGGACAGCACATATAGTTTACTCCAGAAAAGAAGCACGTATGATTTACACCGCATATTGCTCTAGAAGAAGACCCTGAAACTCGTTGTTTGCTTTATTTGCCTTGCAACTTATTCTACTACATCGTTTTGTAAGTAAATCACTTTCCACCAGCGAATCTTTGTGCTTGAGATCTCATTGCGTACATGAAGGCAATAATACCCTTCCAATTATTCACATGATAACCACATGACCACACTCACTTCAGCTTGTTCAGTGTCATAATAAGTATCCATGTTCACTTGCATGATAAGCTGGATAGTTTGTCCTAGCCTTTTCGGGCAGGGTAAGATTTTCTGAACACCTAATCGCTTCGGCAACGTTCATTAATTCTTTCTGGGCAATAGGAGTCGCAGCTCGCACTGCGACTCGCAGCCGACGCGCAAATTCTTTTATTTAATTAGAGCTTTTTTCTCCATTTTAGGAATAATTCTAGGTTTGTAGTTGAGTTTCGATACATTATGATTTTGTCTACACGTCCGTAATCTTTTAATGCAAATATAACTCTTACGTGTGGCTGAAAAGCTCCCTCTCGCTGCGCAATTATACGTCTGTTAACATTTTATCAATTGAAATAAGTTGTGCCAAGAATGTCATGTTATAAATCTACTACTTTTGATGTGTTCTATTTTATAAAATACTCATAAGTTATTGTAGTGACTAAAGAAAAAAACAATTGAAAATTCGTGAAAATTGATATAGCACAGTGCAGCAATGCCAGGTTATCAATAAGAAGCATAAAGTCTTTTTGGGACTAGGCTTTTTTCCGTAAGCAAAAACTTTTCCTTAAATTTTTAGAAGGCAGTCGATAGCATAAATTTCGTCGTTAACGGTACTTTACGTGGCTTTTGAAAACCATTTTTTAGGCTCTATAACAGAGAAAACAATTTGTGCCTCAAACACGGTTCTCTTTGTTCGCTCGTTAGGGTCTGAGAATAGTTCTCTATCCAAAATTTAGTAGCTATTTGATAACAAAATCATGATGATCTTAAAACAAATTTTTTGTTACAAGAGCATCTTATAAAGTGTTGTAAGAGCAAAAGAAAATTACTTTCCACCCTCAGCGTCTTCCTCGCACCTAAAAGACATATATGCATCAAAAGCGTATGGGCAATTGGCTTTTTATCTTGATTTCACATAGCAAATGAATAGGCTTGTAATTCAAACCAGTGGCTAGTATTTTTGATTGCAAAACAATCTTCTTTGGCTCTTACAACGCTTCATTGAGACCATAAAGATTTTCTCAATCATATATCTAACTTTATGAAATACCTATGAAATGTTAAGCACAGAAGCCATGCTTGCAAGTAATGAAAGTCGAAGATAAAACGTAAGAAGATCAAACGTAGTTTTCTATTAACCGTTGCTACGGCGCATTAGCGCAATTGAAAATACCTTTAGAAGAAATCAGTATGGTTGGTATCAGAATTACCATTTTTAACCTATCGAAAGAATATTGAAATTCTACCAAACACAGTCCGCATGGCTCTAAAGCCAAGCAAACACGAATGCAAAACCAACTTTACACTTCGTAGACAAATCGTAATTTTCTTTTTGTTTCTAGAACGTATCAAAAAGCTCTTTCAAAATCAAGTAGAGTATCTGAAGTTGGAAATTTTTCAGCTATCGAATGATTACATGAAATCCCATTAAAAACCTGTGCGCAACGAGGAAATCACGAAAAGCCAATGTGCCATTGTTGATACACTTGATCCCGTAAAAGAAAACTCGGAACTTAGCTTTTTCTCGTCATTATTACAATGCAATAAAAAGCTGTGTTCAAAACTAAGATTACGTTTATAGTTGCCGTTTCTCAAACTATCACAAAACTGGTAAGTAAGCGGTGGCCTCTGCGGTGTAGTGGTAGCACGTGTCCACGGTATGGATGAAATGCGGGTTCAACTCCCGTCCACGGTCGATTTTTGCTTACCAATCAGTTTTCTTAGAGTATCGAAAACTACTAAACTTTAGCGAAAAACTTTGTTTGGGAGAAAGGCATTCAAACACGAGTGCAACCAACAACTATACACTCCAAAAAAAAAGAATTTTTCTTCGTTTCTGCATCTAACTAAAAGAGCGTTTTTAGAAATCACATAGCATCAGAACAGCGACTTTTTCAGCTATCTAGTGACTACTAAGACTTCAGTAAAAAGCTTTCTCTGGTAAAATGACAACTAGACACGAATTCAAAACACACTAAGCACTTCGAGAAAAAACGTAATGTTCTCGTTTCTCGTTGACAAAGACCTATGGATCAAACTAATCCTTCTTCCAGCGCACAAAGTTCATTCTGATGTGCTTCTTGAAAGACGTAATTTTTGCTGGGCATAAAAGGAAAATACAATCAATAGACCACAGTTACTGTTTTGTGACTATGGGGCAACATTCTAAAACACCCGTCTGAATGTTTTCTAAGGCATCTCTACAATTTCGGTACAAATGTTGTGGAGAATGACAGTGAAGAAGCTGGAGGAGTGCAAGACAATGCAAGAACTTACAAGCTTTTTCCTGAAAGGTCTAAACACAGTGAGTCAAAGAACGAAGGATGTGATTCTGAATACAGCTGTGGATGATCTAACAATGCCGAAGCCTCACGACCACTAGGACCAGTAAATTTTCGTCACAATCAGCCTAGTATAGGCCTAAAAACTTAGTATTATTCAATAACTTAGAGGAGGGGCCGTGGCCGAGTGGTTGGGATGCTCGCCGTGGCGCACGTGGAACCAAGTTCCAAGCTCTAACCCCCTCGGCACTTAGTAACAACGCCCTATGGAACGCCACAGCCGGGCTCTATCCTTGGAATTGCAAGGAGACTCGCTCAGCCAGTATCTCACAACGTTCAAGAAGACGAATAAAAAAATTGAGTGCTAGAAGTACAGGGATGCGCACAGTGATAAAAGTACACTGTGAAGACGGATCAATAAAGTGTAGAGAAAGTGTGTACATGAAAGAAAATGAAAGTTTATGTTCGTCGCGCTCAAAATAAGAGTAAAATGTGAACGTAAAAGTTTCAACTGTGAGACTTGAAAGCGCTTTCTAAACAAGAGCTCTAGCTAGTATTGGGCTTACACTCTGGAATGAATTAAATCTGAATATGAGTTATCGAATAGTGTCTGAGTTGAGTACAGGATCTTGAGGATCTAAATGGTGCGCCTTTTTCGGCTCAATAATGCCTACTGCCCTCATTCCAGTCACATTACTTTTGAGTAAAGGAGCCAAAATGAATAATTATTGATATTCAAAATTTCTCATGAAGTATGATTTTCTTTATTTGAACCTTGCACGAGGTTGATGCCTCCTTTTCCTCAAAACTCGATGGCTAACATTTCGGCGGCAACGCCTTCGTCAGAGCCTTTTAGAGTCTTATGGGAGCGGTCACCGGTCTAGTGTGACAATTTTTGAGCGATTACAAAATTATTGATAACTGAGCATTATAGCGGCTCTGAATTAAAGCTACTGCCTGATGAACCATAGGCTATGTTATCTTGTGATCATTATTATCGGATCAACTATAGTATGCAGATGAACTTATCAGGCAATGTGCGCAAAGCATTTCCATAGTTGCTAAATTTTCAAGGCTGTACTCTATACAGAGCTGAGACAAGTTCAATTAGTACTCAATAAAAAACAGAGCATTCATAAGTTTGGAGTATATATGTGTGTGCAACTAAAAAACATACCAATATAGCAATATTTTTGTAATTTGAGATGTGGAGGCGTGTAGAAGTAATAGGTTGAGGATAAAGCTCTGAGAAAATGCTCTAAAACATTTATTAATGCACATATTACACCCTAACAAAGACAAAACTGATAGCCACACTTTTGCTTTGACTACTTTTTTACTTTTACTAATTTTATTTTGCTACTAAACACTGTACTTTTGCCAACTGTGTTTGCGCCCAAGCCAGATTGATGCGTTCACTTCTCACCGTCACATCAATAACCCAATTTGCTCGCTTGTTAACTCCATCTTGAAATAAGTAGACAAATTATATACCAATCAGCGAGGGAGAAAAAGGCTTTCAGATGAGCCCAAAAACGCAAAAGATGGCAGACACCCAGAAAAGTTACAAACATTTTCTCCAGAATTTTTTCCCAACCTATTGAAAATTATATGCATTTCCTTTTTTTTTTCACCATATGCAATGCAAATAAAACACCATCAGTATGTGAGAGGAAAGTGACTTCGATAGAAAGAAGAAACGCAAGATTTTCACAGATGTAGCAATAAAGTAGCAGGTATAATTATAGAACGGTTCAAAGGTTAAGCTGACTATACGTGATAACGCAACTCACCAGGCAAGCATTGTACAATCCGACCGGATCTGTCTAATTTAGGTTGCTGATCGTTTGGACAAGATGGTTGCCGACCTATAGACATTGTGATAAGCATTCTACAAAAAGTGTTCAGTAATTCTCCATTTTTTTGCCTGTCTTTTGAGTAGAACGGAAAATGCTCGCTCATATCTCGACATTCATGTTTTCCTTTCTACTACTTAGTATTTTAATATAATGGTTAGTCTTCAAGTTTTTCATACTGAAACACATCAATGAATGGAGAGAAAGATTTTCGAATGAAATTCGTACGTGTTGAAGTTATGACTGAGAGCAGGAGTAGCAAGAATGATGTCTGCTGCATGTTGGTTGACGGTCTTAAAGGTAAGAGTGAATGAGACAGCACGCTTGCCCTACAAATCCGCGAACGTTCGATTAACCTCTTTCTTTCACCAACTCCCGTTTGTAGAACAGCGGTTGCGCCATCAAGGACAATCTCATTTTTCTATAATAAATATCGTCTTAATACATTCTCAAGACAATAAATAATTTATTGATTAATGACATAGGAAAGAAAGAATTCTGCCTCATTGCTTAGAATGATACTGTCGAAAAACCGATTGCTCAGTCAACTTTGTGGAAAAACGTTTTGCCTTTCAGAGCAACAAAGTCCGAAGTAGAGCCTACTTTTCAATATAAACGCATTTGAGAAAAATACTATCATGTTGCTCTTCTAAATTTATCTAATTCTGTGCTCCGTTCGGCGAACAGGATCAAAAATGTTAAAATGAGGGAATTAAAAGACTAAAAATGTATTTCTTTTTTTTCTATAGCGCAACTTTTCAAAAGAACCATTCCCAATCGGTGATGTGACTTTTTCTGTTATTATTTTTTACACGATCCGACGTTAAATGTACCACAATGCGTGGATCCCAGTATCTCGTGCGTTTGATTTTTATTCCTAGCATCTTCCGTTTTTGAAGGACTTAGAGCTTTTTGCCTGCGGTTTCTAATGCTGCTTGACGTTCTGCTCTTCGTTGTGAATATTGTCGAGTGCTGAATGATGTGATTCTTTGTAGAGTCCTGAGAGCTACGCTAGGACGTTCGCACGTAGATTACATGGAATCATCTTTTTCCAAGGAAATTTGACACCAGTTTATCGACTCAGAAGAATGAGAGGTTGGTTGGTTTGGTGGGTAGTGAAACCAAGGCCTAAGTGATTTGGACCGTCCTCATGGTAAAGGGGGTTGCTACAAGACCTCTAGCTGCTCTATTTACGGTAGGGCTTTACGTACTGCAGTCCAACCAATCATTAACTTTATTTTCGAATTAACAATGTCTTACAGTGGATCTGCTATAAAAAGGTATGCTTTCGATCAAGACGACGGAAGATATTAACATTCCCTCGGTGACTTGATGATAGATAATAATTCGTGATGTTTCACTTGGATTGGGATGGCGGAAGAGCACTCTTATAGTGCAAATGAAATTTTTTTTTGCTATTTGCGGACGGCAACATAGTCGACATCGAAGGTTGCGAGCGATTTTCGTTACTTATTGCGAAGTTTTTTCTTGTTTCGAGCAAAACTTTGGGTTCTTTGTAGTGTTTCAACGAAACATAAGTTTCTCTAGACGTTCATGAACTTTTTGTGTATATGTAACTCTTATATATGAATAAATCTCCGGATGTGGAACGCGTTGTTTTCGCTTTTACAGCGTAATATGAAACCTCTTCAAGACCAGTTCAGCTTCAGAATCGTCGAGATTTGTGCTACCGAAAGAATGTTGGTATAGTTTAATAAATAGCGATCCATAGCTATAGATCTCAGCCGAGCATACGATGCAAACCTAGTAAGAAACATAGTTTTATTTTCGCTGCCACAGCGTAATGAGTAAACATTTGCAGAAAGTAAGCACAATATTGAAATTACCAAGATTCAAGCTTTCGAACGACCTCTAAAATTGAAAAAGGCTTTTGAGAAGAGCTAGAGTGTCGAAAGACCCCACCGTCCGCGAAAAGTTAGGAAGTAAAAGACGTAGTTTTGCAGTAGCTCACGTTTCGTGAGTAAATAACGCGCTGCTATCTACAGTTTCCATTCTTTCTGACACTCTTCTTATTTGTGATAGTATCTCTACTAAGATATAATGAATGGTAATTCGCAACAAATACCTTGGAGCACGGCGCAAAGAGCGCGTGTGGCGCAGTGGTCAGAGGTTCTCGACGACACGGATCGTTGATCAATCGATGATGTATTGCTCGATCCTTCGCTCAGGCTCACCAAGCCCTCCATACCTCTAAGGTCGCTGATTTGCTACCGACTTGTCTGGAAGTATAGCAACACTCACTTAATACGTCAGTGGACCAGCGCGAGTCATTGAGAAGGTCAAATGTGTATTCAATCACCTCAAACGAATCTAGAATTTGAAGACGAATGTATGGCGCATTCCTTAGGAACTGAGCACGCCGAGAGCTTTATCCTTCACCTTAGAGCGTTCTAGTTCCTATTATTTGTGAAACTCACGAAAATACTCTGTTTTACGCTATGATGGGCTTTCTGCGATGTCGAATTCTCTAATAGTCGCTGAAAAGTGCTCATTTCTTTCCAAATTTCTTTTCAAATTTTGTCCAGCAGAAAAGCATTG